GCCACCAGGGAGGGCCCATATTCTATTTCTTTAAAAAAAATAAAAACATTCTTTTCCCCTCATTTGACTGTGAATTAGTGTGCAACTACATCAAAAAAGAACAGAAAGCTTCCCATCTAGATTCTTAAAAAAAAAGGTGATTTGGAAGTTTAAAATTCCTTGTCATACCATTGCAATAAACCTATTTTTTTACAGTGAATATTTAAGTGGAAAAAGTAGACATATTTTTAATAACACTGGAGCCATAGTAATAACATATTCTTAAGAGATTTGGACAAGACTAGGAGTGATAAAGCACTGAAGATTCCTTTCAAGCATATAGCAGACAGATACCTCAAGTTCAAAAATAGTTCAAACTCTAGAAATGGGAGGGGATAAAAAAAAGGGGGGGGGAGGAATCTTCAACCATGGAAATTAATGCTGGATCATAATATGGATCAGAGTAGTTAATTTGAGATCTACTAAAATATATGCATTTTGTATTTCCATTGGAGTCCCTCTTTCATTTCATGAGACTAGGAAAATTGATTTGCTACGGAAGAACTCATGTTGCCTTAATAAAAAGCAGTGGGAACAAAAAAGTAAAATAACCTGCAGCCTTTTAGTGGGGTAGTCCATGCACAAGGTTAGCATATATATTAGCTGAACCAAACACCCTTGAAACCTTTGCCATACTTGTTGCTTCTGTTAGATTTAAGCTATCTAAATAGTTTAGTGAAAAACTATTCTAGAGTATATACATATAAAACTTAGTGATGGCAAACTGCCTCATATTTAAAAGTTACTTGAACTAATTTTAAAGGATAGTTCCTGAGCTTGTTGTAAAAATGCATTTATAATCCCAGTAAAATTTTCCAAACTACCTGTAATAGTGCCTCATCTGACTATAATTCCCAGGGTCCATGGCTGGCCCCTCAAGGATGGCATATTAGAATCTGGAGTGAGGGGTAAGAGCACAACTAGTTTGAAAAAGCCCTCCCCTGATTCTCATAAGCTTACTTGCTTTCCTCTAATATAATGCAACTGTCTCACTTTAAAAGTGAAAAATAAGGCTCAGAGAAGTTTTAAAGACATCCAGGGTTATACAGGTGCAAAGTCAAGACTCAAATCCAGGTCTGCTGGATAGCAATATTATTTTCTTGTTACTAGACATCATTGGTTTAGCTTACAATGAAAATATGACTACTGAAGAACAAAAGACATGTTTCTTTTGTCTCTTTAGGTTCTTTTGAGAACTCAAAGGCTTTTATGATTATCGAATAATTATTTAACTAAGTTAAATAATAGAGAAATAAAATTTATGTGGCAGATATAAATATATAATGAATGGAAGCTAATCTGTTAGTTATTATATCATTCACAAATGCACAACACACACATACACACACACACACACACACACATATCTGCTGCCTGAAAAGAAAGGTGTGGTATTATATCCTGAGCAAGATATGAAGCCATGTCCTGAGAAAGATGAAACCATTTCCTGAGCTGGTCATTTACAAAGATAATTTCTAAAGCTATTATTATAGAAGCGCCAAATGAACATGAAATTATAAAGGCACAACCACTCCATTGTACCGAGGTAATCACATCTTTCTTCATATATTTATTATTTTTATTAAGAAACACTTCAGTGAGGCCCTCCCTGGTGGCGCAGCGGGTTAAAGCACAGCACTAAGAAGCTTAAGTCACGTCCGCATGAGTTCAATCCCCGCCTGCCCTGGAGGAGATCCACATGGTGTGGCAGACCTCTCCTGACCCACCCGCTGCTCCTTTCAGCAGTGTACTTCGTTGATCTGCCTGTTCTGCTCCCCACTCTGTCTATGGTGAATCCTCTCACCCTCCGCATCTCTGGCCTGTACCCCAGTTCTGTATGAATAAATAAATATTTAAAAAAAAAAAGAAAGAAACACTTCAGTGAAAATGAAGCCAGAATCCCAGGGAACCATATTCATGCTTCTTGACCTTGTTACTTATTTTGAAGCAGAGTCTTGCAACAGAGAATACATTAATTTTGAAGTATGTGGAAAACTGCCTGGACAACTATCACTAACAAGTTGTGAGGAGTGATTAAATTTTCCCATGTGTTTTGGGAGAATCTAAGAGTCTAGGAAAGGGAATTTATGTTTTGCAAAACGCTTAACCATTTACTGATTCGTATACCAGAAGTAGAAACCCACAGAAAGAGGGGAGCTGTACCAACTGAGTTCTTGGCTGACACATGCAAGTCACAGAAAACACAGCTAAAAAGGGCCTTTGGCTCATTATATCTGAAGACTTAATATGCTTCAATCCACTGTGCCCCATTTCATCCCTTTAGAAAGAATAAAAACAAAAAACAAGTTTATTGTTGCTTTTTTTTTTGGGTGTGGCTTGGCATATGCTTTAAAAAATAAATATTACTAGGAAATATTTTGAGAATATTCACATTAGAAAATGACAAGCAAAGTGTTACAATCAATCGATTCTACCCACAAAGTTAGAAAGGTGAGCTACATGACAATTAAAAAAAAAAAAACAATTCACAGATGCTATGGGTTGCTTTATTATCTGGGAAGAAATTTTAGCAGTAAAATTGGGACAATATCATGTTTTAATCTTGAGTTATGTGGAAATGTTTTTATTCATTCATTTATAGGTATCTATTTGGCTGTTTTGGGTCTTCCTAACCCTGGAAAGAAGATATAGAGCTGTTATCTTATGAAAGGAGTTCTTGCTCTATTACTAAAATAGAGGAGATTTAGAAAGGAGCAATAAGAAGTAAACCCTAAGTTCCAATCCATTTAACACACCGATCAATTCTGCTTTTAAAATGTAGACAGCTCTTCCGCAGAGGTCACACTGCGTGTGGACAGGACACCAGGACATGGCGCTGGGTGAGCACAGGCTGTGGGACAGGTGTGCTCACATGTGCCTGGGCCCAATTCAGTCCTCACGTGTATGCTCTCATGTTGAGAAATAAGGCACAGAGCGCTTCAATCATTTGCCTAAGCCCCTGCAACTTGTAATTTGTTCAGGGATTCCTAGGGCATCACTAAGGAAACTGACATATAGGGACATAAGAGAGAAGAACAGGAATGTCTAAAGTTAATAGAGGAAGAGAAAAATACCTGAGCATGACTTCTTCTGACTTGGAGGGGAAGCAGGCCGCACAACTATCAGATATTTAGGTTCTGCATCTGGAAACAATAATAATATTTATCAGTAAAAATTCGTTAACAATGAACAGCATTCACGACAACCACTCCTGTCCCATCTCAGTGTCCCTGGCTTTCGTCATAACCATAGAGCTGGTAGGTAAGAGGACCCAGGAATTCAGAAAGTTACTATTTCCTGAGATAGTTTAATCTATTAAATTGTTAAAATGAAAATTAAAACCAGATTTTCAAACCCAGGTCTACAGGGGTGGAAAGAGTTCTTTAAAAAAAGCATGCTAGACAAAAATTTCATGTCATGGGCCTACCCTGGTGGCACAGTGGGTTAAGGTGCAGTGCTGCAAAGCTGGCTGCACCCGTCAGCAGGAGTTCAATCCCTGGCTAAGGAGGTGACTTACATGGCACAGCAGACCTCTCTCGTCTCATGTACTGCTCTCCTCAGCAGTGTACTTCATAGATCTGCCTATTCTGCTCCCCACTCTGTCTCTGGTCAATCTTTCACCACCTCTGAACCTCTGGCCTGTACCCCAATTCTATATGCATAAACAAATCTTAAAAAAAAATTGATTCCTTTAAAAAAATTTCATGTCAGGCCCTCCCTGGTGGCGCAGTGGGTTGAAGCACAGCACTAAGGAGTTGAAGTCACTTCTGAATAAGTTTGATTCCCGCCTACCCCAGAGGTGACCACATGGCACGGTAGACCTCTCCTGACCTGCCCGCTGCTCCGCTCAGCAGTGTACTTCGTCGATCTGCCTGTTCTGCTCCCCACTGTCTCTGGTGAAGCCTCTCACCACCCTTGAGCCTCTGGCCTGTACCCCAGTTCTGTATGCACAAATAAATCTTAAAAAAAAAAATTCATGTCACCTTTCCAAACATTCTCTAAAAAGAAAAACATCCAATTGTTTATATGCTAGCCTACAACTCACAGAAGTCAACTTGATACTTCTAATATTAGAGAGGGGCAAGGTCACACTATGTAAGTGTGAGGATACCATGAACTACCTGTGACTCCTGTCTGGTCTAGTGGACAATAAGGCACAACCTCTGATAGGCTTAGCCTTTTCTGAAAGGCTCTGTTCTATGAAGAAGCTATGCAAGAATCTGATGCCTTTGGTTAAACCCACTCATAGCCAAGAAACCAGCTAACTCTATAAGCAATAGTATCTAGCCTTTACATCTATACAACACTTTCTTCAGATGTCAGGGAAATGATTAAACCCCAACGTTTGCCCTCCTCTGCACACAGAGAGCATCAACATTTTTTTGGTTGAAGATAACATAGGAAACAAAAAGATTTAAACCTCTCACTGAAAACCAGAATTACTCTATTAAGAATAATTACATTTTTATGACCAATAAAATGACGTATAGTTCCTTTTTTCTTCTAAGCACATGCTACTCTGTAACAGGGTGTATAAACTGAGCTCAAACTTGTGACTGAGCGATGCTGATTTTAATTTTCATTTTAACAATTTCAAGCATCATGGATCTGCATCTTAACAATTGTTAAGACTCTTATTTCAGATATTATAAAATACTCAGGTGCAATCAGCTCACTTATGATTGCTCACTTTTTTAGGAATATGAAAAATTATTCATAATTACTCAACTATAATATCCTATTTTATTTTCTTTATGTCTCAGCCTGTTACATTCAATAATTTTCATAATTTTTTAATAAATAATCACAATTTTAGGATAGTGTGATTTTTCACTAAAACATACCAAAGAGATATAGATTGAGAATCTTTTTAATTTTTTTTTAATAAAGTGATCTTAAAGCAATCAGATACTAACTTGATCAGGGGCTAATAATTTATCATTCCTCTTATAATTATGATTCCAAAGTAAATAGCTTGTTTTAATATACTTAAGTAACCAAATTATGGTAGACATACAAAATAGCATTCTATAAGCAGTTCCAGTGGACTGATTGATTTATTAACATTAGATCTTTAGGAACTTTAGGTCCTGAAACTCATCCTATGCCAAATTTCATTTGGGTGCTGTAGTCAACGAGAACTCATTCCTACTTGCTCAGGCTGACCTCACATTTTAGTTTGGTTTTCACTCTAGGTTCAAATGCCTTCCCCTCCATGAATTTGGAAGAGGGCACCTCTGTCAAAGACTTCATAGAACTGACCTCATTCCCATCCAGAGACAACCTAGCAATTCAACCACCTTTAATGACGCAAGCCTTTGTCTTTTTATGGATTTGCTAGAACTTGCCATAGTTACTACACTACATACAGAAAACCAGGTAACCTTTAACTAAACTTACAGCCTTGCCTATTTATTGTATTGTTGCCCCATGGCCACAAAACAGAAAAAGGAGAATTAATTGTGTTTCAGTCTCATGTGTTTGAAAACTTATCTTGTTTTGTGGAGCTTAGAGAAAAAATGCTTAACCTAAATCAAGTTCCCAGGTAGAAATACAATAGCCATTTCCTAATTTTAGCTGTGATATGGAACAATATACTCATTAAACTATTATACATGTTATAGTTTATGTGTGGTATAACAATTATTCCTCATGGCACTCCTGACATTAGCACCCCAATTTGTAAATGAAGTCAATGAGGTAAGGTCAGTTTCATAGCATGTAGTATGTATAGTCACAAAGGGTCTCATATTAAAATAGTTCCCTGCTGTTACCATTCTGAAATTCTTTTACTTTTTTTCTTTTTCACGTCATTGACATTTTGTAAAGATATTTGTTATCTCCTCTTGGGTGTAGTTCCCCACAATTCTCCCACCACCATGGCTCCCATGAACCATGACCATTGTTCCTTGTGCTCTTCCCTCCTGTCTTGATTCCTCTCCCCCTCCTCCCTCAGATGTACGGTTTGCCTGCAAATTTTCATGTCATTTTTCCTGACCCTTTGATTTCACTCTATTCCACCTATAAGTGAAATCACACCTTAATTTTTTTCTGACTTACTTCATTTAGCATAATCCCTGCTAGCTCCATCCATGTTGCTGCAAAAGGCATGAGTTTATCTTTTTTGATTGCTGAATAGTATGCTACTGTGTATATATGCCACATTTTCTTGATCCATTCATCTGTTTGGGCATATTTACATGGTTTCCATCTCTTAGCTATTTTAAAATCTTGAAATTCTTAAACATTTATCTTTGAATTTGTGTTTTGTAAGGTAAGTTCAATGGGACAATGGAGCACATGCGTTAAGAGAGGATATATGAGAAGGATGTATATAGGACTAATGTATGTAGGTCTGCAGTTCCTTCCACTCATCTATATGTAGTTGAACAATACAGAGTTCAGCAAGACTCAAAGCATAATAAGGTAAGCTTTATTACATCTACCTACTCAGTGAGGGAGTAATGGTGGGTCCTACAGCTCTGAGAAACCATCCGTGGCATATAAAAAAACACTTTTCCAATGCAGAAATAATGCAAAGGCATTTTAAAACACAAATGATGCTAATTGTTCCATTTATAATCCTTTTTATCTTATTGCCCTGTATTAATCATTTATGCTGAAAAAGATGTAGCAAGAGAAAAACTAGTGCAAACCCCAGGTCCTTTTCAGTTTTTCCTCACTCATGCATCAAAGAATGTTTTGGTAGAGTGTGTGTATATCAAGTAGCAAAGTAAACGTTGAGTAAGTGTTGTGGATAGCCACTACTCTGGTAAAAATGAAATACATTTGTATTTAGTATATATATAAGTTGTGTAACTTCAGAAATTCTGCTTAGGAGTCAAAAGCTCATCTTTGCCTTTAAAACTAGCACTATACAATATAAAAATGACAAAATGATGTTTTAAAATTTTTAATTTTGTTTGCATAAATGACATCAAAAACAAGTAGACATCAAAAACAAAAGACATCAAAAACGAAGTAGAGAGGGAAATTCTAAGGGAAAAAAAACTTTATATTTTAGTTCCTATTTTAGTTATTTTTTAAGGGGTCCCACACTTTTATTTTGTGTAGTCTGCCTTACAATTACATAGCTCTTTAGTCCCCAAAATGCCCTTATATTTAGTCTCCTAAATTCACTCTTTGAAAACAAAGTTAAATTCCAGTTTTTCTTAAATTGCTCTCATTGTGACAGGGTCCCTACAGTTAGTTAGCCTTCCATTTCCTACCTTGGTAAACATTAATTCAATATGCTTCAGTGATTTAAAAAAAAATTAGAATGAAATGCTAAAAAATAACTAGTAGGAGCCAAAGATAGTGCCATGATCCAAGACATATGGTTACATGAATAGCTTAAAAATAATTTGTTATGATCACAGTCATTTTGTATAAAACATAGGCTGTTATAGCCAGTTACAAGTTGGAACAGATGTTGGGATTTGGGTTCAGATGCTGGCTCTCAATGCTCATTAAAAACTTCCAACATGTGTGTATTTCAGCACTCCATCGGGACTCAGACTCGGAAAAATGAAAAAAAAAAATTATAAGACTTCTGTTTCCATTCTGCACTATGAAATTCTTTGTAAATTTGTAGCAACATAGAAATATATACAGTTTGCCTGTTCAGCAATTCTGATAACACATGCCAAAATTTATGACTTCCTTTAGAAAAAATACAATTAGCCAATTTAAGAAAATGTGTAGAATGCAGATACTTTAACAAATTTTCCATTCTTAAAATTAACCTATAAAATGTTGCCATCTAATTAAATTTAATCTGCTCAATATTTTAAATGTCTAGTGGTAAAGGATAGGACAGTTTACTCTTGGGAAAATCTATTGAAATCACTTTAAAAGTAGTAGACTTGAGAAATGCAAATAACCCCTCCATAATTATTGTTTGATGGACTCTAGTTCTCACATTTTAGGTCTGCTCTGGAAGACACATGTATTGCAAGCTGCACTGTTTTTAAGATGCTGTCACAGCAAGGCTTTTCTCTGTCATGCCAAGTTTCCACAAAATAAGCCAGGATAATCTTCAATGAATCTAAGAAACAAAATAATTTATTTGCCCTTATCTTTTTTAACAATTTGTTTCATTAACACAAGAGCATGGATTCTAGAGTCTGGGGTGAAAATGCAG